TGAGTCCCCATCCCTGGAGGTATTTAAAAGACGTGTAGATGAGGCGCTTAGGGACATGGTTTAGTGGGCATGGTGGTGTTGGGTTGACGGTTGGACTCGATGATCTTAGAGGTCTCTTCCAACCTCAATGATTCTATGATTCTATGATCAGCAATATTCCTAGATCCTTGAGTACATGTTTGTCAGGGCTCTGAATGCACTGACAGGACTTAATTGCCCTGAACAGCTACAGCTGAGACCCTGACTCAACCACCTCGCTGCTCTTCGGTCCAGCTAAGCTCAGGCATACCGGTCTCCAGCCCTGCCTTCTGGATGGACCTTGAACCTATGTCCTAGCTCTGTCTTCTGCTCGTGGCTGGACCCTCCAGACTCATCCCCTCACACTGCATGGGGCTGTCGGTGGACCCTGTAACCATTGCCGGGCTCTGCTCACCGTGTTTGGATCCTGTGGGGTTACGTCCTGAGTGGGGAGGGCATGGCCTGTGCTGGGGTCACGCTCGGTGCCCACTCGTCTTCCTTCATGGAGCAGCCCTGCTCTTATTGCTCCCTGACAATATTAAAGCAGTCTCTGCTCTGACTTTTTGACTAAGTGATACTGAGATTTCTGACTTTTGTATATTTTCTCCACCGTGATATAAACGTATATTTTGTCCTTAAAAATAAATATAAAAATAAAACTCATTTACAGTTTCTTTTATGCTTCCATAAATTCACTGTATTCAAGATACAAGCACTCAGGTTATTCTGTATATAAGTTTTCATTTAATAAAACTACACCTAGAGTGGCCTCTAGGGGCACATGCAAATCACTAAGACTTCTCAGACAAACATTCATCAGTTAGGCCCATGTCATTTACCAACTGCTTCTTCAGAAGGTAACAGCCAGGGTCAGCAGAGGATCTTGTGTCCTTCTGACATTGGAGCTGGAACCTGTCAAACGTGTATCGGTCCAAAACCTACTTCATAGAAACCCTGCTCTCTGCAGTTTCATGTTTCTTTGGCTTCTTACACGAGAAGGGATTGAATCCCTAAGTTGGCTTTGCTACTGATAAAAATTTGGCACAAACTCGTGACCTAACAGGTCGCTTCTGTGATAATGAAATCAATTAGTTAACTGCTAGGGACACCTAGACTAGTCCTTTTCTGCATAAGGCTTACAAAGTTCATCAGGGCTTAAGTCCACTTGAAAACAACGCTGTCATACTTGGAAAAAAACTCACTACCACTCCCATATAGAGCGTTGTGATATTACATCAGCAACGCAACGTGTTGAAACTATGAACGAACATTTGACATGGTATTTCACAATGCCCTAAACCTCAACTGCATTTGTAAACAGTATTTATAGGAGGCCAGGCTTGCTTATACTGAAACTATGTTATCTCGGGAATGCGGGGCTAATGTTCACTCTTGCCAAGCACTTGTTCCCTTATGAAAAGTCTGAAAAGTTTTAGATTTTAAAATTTAGACTCTTCTGAATCATCTAAATCCAAAGAAATCTCAACAAGTATTTCATTTGTCCGTCAGCTTGGCGATAGTTAAATGGCATTGTGGTCTGGGTATGAACAGCTGCGAAGCGCATACATCGTCTCTTGACATGGATCCTTGCCATTTGTTTGTTGTGATACACCAATGTGAGAATTCACGAGTTAGGGCTCAGTCAAATTTCCACTGAAGGAAATGAAAGCTGGATTTGGCCACGTGTATTTATCTAGCACCTCGTAGCTTCAGACTGAATAACTGCTTTTTGTTATTGCTGTTGTCCATATCACCTCTGTATCTGGAAGGATGCAACCACAGCACTGAAAAATGGAGAACAGGCTAAGAAATATAAAATAAAGGAATCTCAGGTATAGCTTCACTATTCAGGTCTGTTGCTTTTGTATTACAGTCCTTTTCTCTTTCCATTCTTCATTGAGGGCCTGATCCCGTGCAGACCCCACTTGCACCAGGAACTTTCTCAAGTGGATTTTTACATCTGTGTAAGCTCAAGAGCCTGTACTTGGGTGTTCAGCGTCCGGTCTTCAGACTGGTCACAAAGTCTTTGCAATGGGGTAATGTCTATCATATGCTTATCCTACGAAAAGGACAAATATATATAAAAAGCATGTTACTACAGCCCGCCGACGCTGAGAAAGGCAGCCCCTCGCCGAGGCCAAGCGGGACTCTCAGCTCAGGCCCCGTCTCCAGCGCTGCCCGGCCGGGGCGGAGGCGGTACAACGGTTACAAGTCTGGCTCCAAACGCTCCCGTCCACCCACGCGAAGCTCGTATTTAAAATGGGAAAGAAGTTTTAGTTGAAACAACCGTAGTTGGGACAAACCGGACACCGGGCAGGGCTGTGAGACAG